TTCGACCACTTCCAAACTGTAACTACCCAACGAAAGTGCAGGAACAGGTTCCTGCCAATCTTGCAACAACACATTGTATTTGGAAGGTACAAAGAACATACCGTGACAAGTAACCTCAATTGCCAATCGAATCAGTGTTTTGAATCGTCGATGTGTTGTCACTGAGTAAGGCAATATAATTCACATACTCTAAATCTACCACTCTGACTCCAGGATGAAACTCGACACCAGCGTTCATTACGTTAAGTAACAAGTTCTATGGCAAAGTTGAAGAGAAACAGAGACAGGGCAACCTCGTCGTACTCCACTGCTGACAGGTAACGAGGCTGAGAGTTTACTATGGGTCCCAACTTTCTAGAGCTGACGATAGACGGCATTTTGGAGTATTTCGTACACCAGCACACAAGTCCACAGGACAGAGCGATCGATCGAGCCGAAGTTCGTTTTGATATCCAAAAACACGACGATAGTTTGTCGCGTATGTGATGGTAAAACGTAGAGACTTGCTCCATGAAACTACGGCATGCACGAAACCCGGCCTGTTCTTGGATTCATCTCTTGCGCTTTCGGAATCAGACTTATGCCCCTGTGGTTGGAACTGGCGTTACGACAGTCCTTCTTGTGGATGGGCGCAACAATCGGTTCTCCCCATGTGTGGGGTACAATTTCGGTTTCCCAGATCTTCGAGAACAGTTTCACAAGCTTTATCATTAGGGCTTCTTCACCATCTTTAAAGGTGGTAGGTGGCAGGTCGTCCGATCCAAACTTTGTGGCGTTTCAGGGCTTTGGTTTTCCTTCGGATCTCCGCTTCTGTGGGCGGTTTTGTGCTTAATGAGCAGGGTGCACTCTCAAGAGAATCACTTGAAGTAGCTGGTGCGGGAGGCTGATTGAACCGTGAAGTGACGTGCTTTGCCCAACGTTCCAAGTGTCGGTGAGGACTGTATGTTGGAGTGCCGCCTACTTCGCAGATGGTTTCACTAACGCACTGTCTTCTATGGCTAGTAGTACGGATGAGTTGGACCAGCTGCAGGGTGTACCCCCAATTAGCTGCTGAGTCCATCCCCTTTGCACGTAGCGCTCATCGAGCTTCTCGGTTGTCTCTTAAGATATATTTGTAAGTTCGCTCATCAGAGACTGGCGCGATGCATTATATTCGTCTACCGGGATTGCTCCACGCGTGTCCTAAGTATATGAAAACTGACTGAGGGACTTATATATCACACTGTACTCCTCGGTTGTGTGATCAATCGAATTAAACTTTCGGCACCTCCTGTCTGTGCTAGATGTCGTAAACAGTGACGCTCGTGTATCTACTCAAGTTGTTCGCCAAGGTACTTCGACTACATTCGGTATCTTTACTATGGTACTGCTCCCAGTTTTCCACTTTTTTGTCGGATCCTTCATCATTGTTCCACCAAATCAGCTGTCAAAAGGCAACAACTAGAAACACCGCACTGAGGTGTAAGGTTCTAAATGAAGTAAGCTGGTTAATAAATGCCAGGTCTCAATAGCATCGTTCAGGATAGAATAAATGGC